TTTTTTAATATAAATGATAACTGACGAATATAATAATATAATGCTCATCATATGCTCAAAGAAAAATATAATGCTCATCAAAGTTGAAAGTGACGTCACTGGGTAGTATAACAATTACCTCGGGATTAAAATTAAAATGAATATACCCTCATGACGCTACTCTCTTAATCAATCAACACATTCCGTCAGATTTTTTGTGTGTAAAAGAAAAATACGGATTCAAAATTTTTAGACATGACCAATGTATGGAAGTGCCTTATAATTTTGACAGAGCAAAAAGTGTAGCCACTTTTAGATAGTTTATTTCAATACAAAATAAATTTTAAACGTAGTATGCGGGTGATCTAATTTGGTCACATAGTGTATGTGGTGTGGAAGTGTGTGTGTACGTTATCAAGTTTTTAGATCAACTCACATAATTCAGTGCCCTCTAATGGTTTAATCTGCAAAAATCGATCAAATATGGCCAAAAATCATTTCACACAATGTAATTTTTTAACAGCACATTTTTAGTCAAAATGATTAATACAAAAATTGTAGATCTCCTAAAAATACACTTGTTTGTATTGACCGATTTCACCTATAGTGTTATCATACACTTAATATCGAAAATCATTTTAAAATGGCTAGAAAAGCGTTTCGTAGCCTGTAAGTCGTTAGCATTTATATTTAGAGTATTGATATTAAAACTCAGTTGGACAAAATCAACCGAATATTATTGAAATTGTAACTTGTTAGTTAAATAAAACTTTTTGCTCTGGTAACTCGTATAGATTGGTCGTGCTTCACATGCAAGATAAAGTGTTTTACATAAATTTAGGCACTTGTTTTGTAATATATCTGACCAACCTAATGGTTTTTTGGTGCTTTTCCGTATTAAATAAAAATCTTTACACTTTTAATCAACACTGTTTATGCGTATCATCAATAGATAATTAAAATAATCAATCGTTCAGTCGACTATTTTTTGTAACTACTTTGTGGCATAGAATGGGAAGATTGGCTCTCATCTGGGCAATTTTTGTTTGTTTCTGTCATGTGCTACGAGTGTGCCTGATAATTTAACTTATTTTTTAAAAAGTCATAATTGAAAAAGGTTCGTGGTGCATTTAGATTGTACTTAAGCTCTTGTTATACTGATATATCTAAATATATTTACTGTACTAAAAATTATGTCTGATTTTTAGCAAACATGTGAGGATTAAAGGGTTAGTCTTTTGGTAGTATTATTTGTAAGTAATCTTGTAACATTTTCTATAATAAACCTAAAAAAAAGGAATTATCAATGAATTATTTCAATGACTATTTCATAACATTCATCTGTCTAAATATAATTATAAATCAAGTGATTAATATTAAAACGGAAACTTACAATAACGTAAAAAATAAAAAATAAATCTCTGTGTTACAACAAAATTTTAACTAAATCAATGCTTTGACATAAGATTTAACGATAGCAGAATTAATGTCATTCTATGATTGTTTTTCCAACATAACAATTTACCAACGCTATCTAAAAATTTATTTGAGATACATCTTCGAAATTTTACTCAGAACAGATCTTAGTTCATTTTACGTTGGTAAACTTGCAACACTTGGGATTGAGTTATTAAAAAAAAAAAAAATAAAAAAAAAATAAAAAAAATAAAAGAAATTTGATAGGCATTAGTTTGGAGTGCATTAGGGTTGATAGCTCAGCTGTACGAATTATCCTAAATTACCGTTCGAATGATTTCATGATAAATTGAGTTACAGCTACTGTATAAAAATAATTGATTCTATTTTATGTCAGTTACTGAAACGTTAATGTACTTTTCTTGTTACAAACACTAATTGAAATGGAAAGAGATACTACGGTTAGTGAAAATAAAAAAAATAAAAAAATTCAGAGGTATCACAAAACGAATAATGGAAGGCAAAAAAAGAAAATAATAATTTACTACTTTTGCATAAGCGCTTTAAAAACCTTTTTTATTTAATTGATAAATTGCTTTTGATACACTGATTCTAGTTGCCAATAAACCACCCACAACAGTTAAGATTTTTAGTCCAGATGACCGTTCTAATATTACACCATTGGGTTAGCACATCTTCTAACAATTGATTTTCATAGTCAAATTTTCAGTTGAACGAAAGCCACCTCTAGATTGACAAATAGACATTATTGACTGTCACCACGTAGATAGCCGGGGAGGCAGTAACTCAAATGTTCCAAAATTCGTTTTCATCGACGTATATTTATTCCCAAGTCGATAACGATTAAAAGTTATGATGAATCACTTAAAACACCAGTAAAGTCTTCTAGAATGTTTAAAAATTTTTCTTGTTAAATCATAAAACAGCACCTCACGCAAGCCCGACTTTCGCAAAAACTAACATCTTGGACAAAAGAAGTAAAAGGTCAAGTACGAGCCATCTCCGTCGTTGGCAGGAGATTTCTCAGAATTCGACGGAAGGGAAAAAATCTCAGAGGCAGCGATTACGTCGAATCCCGCGTTATCGGGCTCAAAGTACGTATATATACGAGGGCGCCGTTGTAATCTCATCTAGGCACTCGACTCCCCTCTCTTCCGCTGTCTTTCTTCGCGAAGCGAGTGACGCTTTTTATCCTATTACGTCACATGAATAAACTAAAGACTCCGAAGATGCTGCCGGGCCCTATTGGGAGCTTTACTGCCTCTCATTTCGATGGGGGGGGGGGGGGGGAGGATCGGAAACTAGGTCTCTGCTCGTACCCCATCGGACGTCGAGATGAATTTTCTTTGTGCGTGATTTTTGGACGCTTTTTTTCTCTGAAACTGTAGGTTGGGTTGAGATTGCTTTTATGGGTGGCCGGTGTACGTAAAACTTATTCTCCTTACCAATACTTCAATAAAGACAAAAGTCAGCGATTTAAAAAAATATCGGGCTAATTTCATTGACCCCCTTATTTGGAACTATTCGATGAAAACCTGCTTCATAAAAAGCATTGAGTTTTGTGCAGAGTTACTTGTATTTAATGTTTCAGATTTTAGGCAAAAAAAAAAAAAAATAATATGCTTTAGTCAGAACCCCATTTGATTGTGATGCCTTATTTTTTGTTTATTGTCAAACAATTGTTGAATGAATTTAAATTCATACGTTACAAAGGTGATAGCTTAAAAAAGTTTGGATATTACCAATTTTCGATGCTAATCAAGCAAATTATCACCCTTTGTTCAATGGGTCAATTTTGTAGCATCAGTGATATTTAAAATTCATTAAGAAAAAACAAAGTCTATGGATTACATATTTTAACTAACGGAATATCTATCATATCATTTATTGCTACGTAACTCTATGCATCTCTACTTAGTTTATTGGTAACAATATTTAACATTACTAAGAATAGTTATAATTTTTATTATTTGTGTTACATGATTTACAAGCTAGCAAGATCAGAAGCATAAGTTGTGCTTGAAAAATAATCTTTTGCAGAAATTGTGTTTTGGAAAGGCTTATATCAATATTAAATGCGTACTTTGGTATTTCTATCAATCGCTTACGCAAACATATCACCAACCATGTAATAATTAAATACCAAATAATAAAGACAGTAGAAATTATTTTCTGTAGTTTTCTTGTTTTTTTTTCTGAAAATTTTCGGTAAAAACAGTAGGGATAATATTATTATATTATTATCCAACAGATAATTTAAAAAATGTATCGCCAAAGTGCAACAACTACAAACTTTTAGTTAAAAGTGTATGATATATTATGTCACGAGATCATGACATTAATTTTTAATAAGAGCACATCCACGTGTAGGATATCTGGGAACTCGCATAGATGATAAGGGGATGATTTTTTTTTCATTACTGTTTACAGATTTTGTTGAAAACAAAACAAATTTTATGATCTACTGACAAGAGCAATAAAATAATATGCTAGGTGCATGATAAGCTAGGTCATTGCTATCGCAAATCTGCTCTAATTTTCGTAATGGATTTCGCATTGAATATAAAATAACAAAAATCCCCCGACTGAGTCGATACGCCAAAGTAAAAATGGATCATGTTTTGACAGTGGCAGCATGACGAAAAGCAAACGAGGATTTAAATATTCAACCACATTAGTCAACTGAGAGAAAAAAATAACAAAATTTATAGAGAAATTCCAGTAAAAATTACCATTCTGCACGGTAAATTGGATGCAAGTGGGCAAAAAAGGAAAAAATGATTATTTTTAGCAGTCTAGATTATTGTTTTCACAGTTATAATAATGGTTCGAAAAGTAAAAATTTCTATGCTGGAAAGTAAGATTTATGAACCAGTCCTTGTAAGGTTTACTGTTCTCACATGGTAACTTTTACTGTTCTAACCATAATTTTAACTATTAAAACAATAATGTTTACTGTTAAAAATAATAAATTTTCTCTTTTCTGCCAATTTTCATCTAATACACTGTGTGGAATAGTAATTTTTTCTGGAATTTCTCTATAATTTTTATTATTTTTTCTCTCAGTGTTGGTACGATCGGCTCAACGCACGTCCTATTGTATCTACTGGATTTTTCAAGATTTGCAAATGAATTACCAATGATGATTTTTAAACGTTGCACGTTATCTCAGTTTACTGCACTGATAGAAAAATATAATAAAAATTACTGTGCTAGAATTGTAATCGGGTATCATTCCGCCATCTAGATATTTTTTACTTTGGCCAACCTAATTTTTACTATTCCGGACAGTAATTTCTAATGTACAAACAGTAAAAATCACTATATTTACAACAAAAATTACTAGTCTAAGCACTAAAAATTATTGTTCCAATAGTAAAAAGTCTCTAGACAACCGAACAGTACCAGATTATCATTCTGGTATAGTAACTTTTATTATATTTTTCTCTCAGTTAACTGTAATCTCATCGCCTTCCAACTACTTTGACCCCATTAGATCTCCATCCCTTACCCCAAATAATAATCATCATCATCATCTGAAAATATGTATAAAACCACGATTGCCCCAAATTATAAAGACTTACCGTGGGGTTCGGCATACAACGGCGTGGTGGTGGGGCCATGGGATCAGGCGCCGCGCGATACGCCGGCGGCGAGTACCTGCCCGATGGAAAGCAGCCGGGCGCCGAGATCGGCGAGCCGTGCAGGCCCTTGCTGCTCATCATCTTGTCCGGTGAGTACATCATTTTGTCGCGCTGTTGTCTCTGTCCCTCTTCCAACCAACCAAACCGGTAACAACAATAATAACAACAAGAACAACAACAACAACAACAACAACAACAACAATAACAATGAACAACCACCACAACAAGAACAACCTAAGCTCGCAAAGTTTCAACGCACATTGGGGGTGGGCACACGCAGTTCCTCACCCCACCGTGTCCTTGTGTTTTCCACACTCGAATCTCGTCCCAGCACCACTGCGAAAGTCAACTATACGGAGCACTTGTACAGCGATGGCGAGTCTAGCCGACGGCTACGGGCCGTCTAGGCCAAAGCGACGACCGTGTCGTCATAAGTCCACGTATTTTCACTCAAAACTACCCAAAAGACAGGCCTACTTGGCCCTTTGGCGGTCAAGTCTTCCCACCTCTGTCTCACTCGATACTATTGTTTTTCCAACAACGATTGGAAACCCGAACAACGCCAAACCAACCAAACCAGAACTTTTTCCTCCCCCAAACCTCGATGATACCGTCGAGTGCTCGATATGGTTGCACGTGTACAAAAACACAGAGGAAAGAAAAAACGGAGGTTTTATGGTCACCGAGTACGTACAGCAACAACAACAAACGAGGGTTCAGCCGCTCGACAACCGGTTGGTAAGGGAGCGCGACATGTTCTGCGGATCCGTTCGCGGCTCAACATGGAAAGGAGCTTGCCCGCCACCCCCTGCGAACAACAACACCAGTCAACCCCCTCCGATTCCAAAGCTGCAGCAGTAGTTCCAAGGGTAGTGGCGGTTGGAGATGAGCCCACGGGTTGGCCGGACCCCCACTCCCAGTGCCGAGGGCTCCCAGGGCTTGAGAGGGTACATCGATCGCTAGGCAGCCAGGGGGTAGTAGTTCGAGGGCGTGGCTACGCTTGCGCTCGGCCACCCCGGTCGGCCATACTACGTGGCGAGGGTAGGGGTGCCTGGCGTGCGGTGGGTGATTTTCTACACTCCCTCGCCATCCCTCTCTCTTGCCTTTTGGCTACGGAGCCTTTTCTGCCTTTTCTTCCGACATGTCGGTGCGTGCGTGCCCTTCTCTCTCTGCGTATGGCTGTGGTGGGCCGCTTCTGCTCTTTTGCGGAACTGCCGGAGCTCCCTGTGCGGTTGCGACCGACATGGATTCTGGTGTATGTGTGAGGACGTAGCGCGGAATGAGCTCGGGACTCACCACGGAGGCTGTTTCTCGGACTCTTCTCTTCTTTCTATTTTTCTTTTCCCCGCGTTTATTCGCTCGTTCGGGGATATTCAAGATTGTTCGTACATTTGCCCCTTTGTTTCTCCCTTTTCTGAGATTTGTTGGGGAGTTGCCAATTAGGTATTGTCGGCTCAGTGAACAGGAGTACGAGAGTCGAAGCAAAGACACGTCTTTTTATGCTAATGACCAACAAAATGTGCTCTCTGTGAAAATTAAATTTGTCGAGTGTCCAGCTGGTAGTATATGAGTTTACTGCCAATTAAAAAAAAAAAAAAAAAAAAAAACAAACAAAGAAATAAACAAATAAAACGATTCGATGAAAATTTCTCCTTTTTAATTTCATTAAAAATCTAGTCATCATTCCAGTTAATCACGGTAGATTATCGAAAACCTACCCGAATATCCCAAAGGGTTGTGCCCTTTTTTTTTCAACGCACCATTCGAGCCCAGCAGCAACGTATATAGCACATTTCGCAAACTCGTCTTTTTTCCCGGTTCTCAAGTGGTGAAAGAGGCTACCATCAAAAAGGTCAACCCATTGCCCTCTCGTTGATTGATCTACGTTTGCGTTGGCAACAAGTTCACCCCAGAATAATTCAGCCAACGACGCGAGATAAATCCCAGCCCAGGCGCGACTGAACATAGATCGTAGATTTTACAAAAGCCGGGACGAATTTTTCAGCCCCTGCGTTGATTTGACGCGTCTTGCTCTTCTGGTTTCCCTCCACCGAGGAGCCGTTAAACGATGACGTATCCCTTTTCTGCTTAAACCCGAAGCTTTGAGGATGGAGAGGAAGTTAGGACTTGCAGATGTTTCACGATGCCGACTTGGAGATTCTCCTCATACGTTTTTGCGAGTGACAAAAGGTCCGTCCTTGGAACGATTACAAAAGCAAGTCGATCGAAAAGAATCAGCGCGGAAGCCGGTGATTACCGGAAATTGGACGAAAAGAAGAGTGAATTTCCACTGCAGCTACGTCCAATAGGACAGCTATAATGGAAATAATGACGAGACGGTGAAAGCTCGGGGCGGTAAAGATAAGCGACTCGGGTCACGCGATCTATACATACGCACCGACGCACACGTGTACAAAGCGATGGTGCGTTTTGACGAGCCAGCGAGGGTGTACGGAACAATGACGGGGGAGGAGGAAGCGCTGCGGCCGTAACGGAAATATGCGAGGGAACCCTCATTTCACTCACTGATGGCTGGGGAGTGGGGTGATGCTGGTCGTTATTAATTTTTGGAAAAGGTTGCTGGTTGAGGGTTACGGAGGGTTGCATTCAGGGATACCTTGGGAATACTTGCGGTGAGTTTTGACTTTTTCATGCCTTTTTTTGTTTTGGCCCAAGTTTGATATTTACTATGATCTGTACGATGGTCAGTGTGGCTAAGGACTATGAAAAATCGTGTCTGTAATCTTGAAAGTACCTATGCGTTGGAGACAATATAAAAACAGGATGATAAATCGATGGAAGATTTCAAATGAAAATGTAGGAAGTTTTATTGACTTTGGAGATAACTGGCAGAGCAATTGCTAAGATTATCCATGAAGTATTCACAATTAGAAGTAGAAAAACTTTTCTCGTATATTAAAAAAAAATTGTTAAAGACATGTTGAGTTCGCTTCCAGGTCATTGGGATTCATAAAAGAGTGTACACTAAAGTTGTAATTAGGAAAATTGTAAAATTATTCGTATAATGTTTAATGCTTGATCAAAAAAAAAAAAAAAAACTCAAGGTTATCATATTATTTATACAATATTATATCTATATCGCATTGAGAAATCACTTTTAAAATTTATGATTTATTCTTGTAAAAAATGTCCTTATCTTGTTTAACTTTCAAGTGGTTGCAATGTGATAACCAAATAGTATCATACGTTTAGAATTGAGGAGAAAAGAATAGAAATAAGCATAGTATTTTTCAATTTAGTCAAAGCTGTTATAGTAGAAAGTCTTGGATTTTTTACCAGGATTAAACAAAAGCACGGCTTCATATTACTCTGAAAATCTCAACTAAAACTCAAGAAGCTACGGGATTGCTCCGAGAATGCTATCTTCTATTCTAGAACGTCAGAAATTATCTATCTAAGTTATCTTTATTCCTTTTATGTATATTTAAAATACTGAAAAACTATAGTTGGTAGAAATATTTTTAGTTTATAGAATCTATTGAAAAAAAAGCCTCCTTTAATCAGCAAATAAAATACACCCCACGTACCAACAATAGCAAAATAATCTCCACACCAAAACATACACATATCCCCATTAAATACCCACCTCAGTATCCAACGTCACCCTTCAACCTGACCCCTCCGCAAACTCGTCCTTCCCAAGCATAGGCAAAAAGCATGCCCAACTGCTGCCGTGCCTCACCATACACAATATACTCCCGTACTCATACTTACGCCACAAGCATATTATATACACGCCCACGCTCATGCGGTTGCCAGCCGCAGGCAGAGATAGTCCAGGCTCTTTTTTGACCCCATGCACTGACGCGGAGGAGAGTACCTCCATCGCTTCTCGAGTGCGAGTACACCCTAAAATTTGCCATCTTCTTCCAGCCCACTGTACACTGAACGTGTAATACATAGATGAATCCAAAAGAGGAGGCACCGGAAAAAGAGTGCGGCAGAGGGATGAGGGGGGGGGGGATGGTTAGTACATCCCGTGGGAGCTGTGTTATCGCCTCGGCCAGGATGACCGGCCGTGGGGCCCCCCGCTATCAAATATTAAAGCCACTTGCAGCCACCGCCAGCCACCCCTTCTCTCTCTCTCTCTCTGTACCGCTATTCCAGCGGCGTACGTTTCGGTAGCCGGACGCTGGCTATTGTAGCCACTGTGTTGTTGTTGTTGGCGAACTGCACGTAAGACGCCCGTCCGTCCGTGCGATTGCTTTGCGGCCTCGGACCTTCGCTCGTCTGGCTAAAAATTTATCCTCTGCGGGGGAGAGATGCTCCTCCTCTGGCTCTGCGCTGCTACAAACCACGTGCACGTATACACGGGTAGGCCTGCATCTCTGTGTATGTGCCTTATACCTTTGCTCTTGTTTCACCTACGACGAGGATAATATGGTGCTGCTCATATATATATACGTCTATCTAGCTCGACCGCGTCTTGTTTTGGGGGATATGGTAGCGCGGTCTCGTCAACAATTCAAGGATACTGGTTTTTGATTTTTCATCCCCTTTCTCGTGTTCTTTGATTGTAGTGTGTACCTACTCTGTACTTGCTCTTGGCACAAGCACACGATTGTGGGTTTCGTTTCTTTCTTTTTTTTTTTTTTTTTTATCAACAATTGATTAATTTTGATAGTTGGAGGGTCACCCATATCATTATACAGTTGTTATTTTTCTTTTATTTAATGACTTTCTCGCTTACAGAGGGTGTTTTACTCATTCAAACCCAAACTAACAAAAACACAAAGGATTTACCTACGTAGGATATGGAAAATGAATTTTGATGGTTGCATGCGGAGGAAAGGAATCGTTCAGATTATTACGCAAAGAAAAGTTACCTCATTTAAATTTATAGTTACATAACTTTATTTATGATTCGTACTAATAGATGCAAAACCTCTTCGCTTTTGGGGTTGCATCAAGAGGGTTCTGGGAAAATAAGTGATTAATCATTTTTTGTAGTCACCATATTATGTTTAAGATACTAACCTTTACTTTATTAATAATATGCTTATGATATTATTTTATCTGATATCAATGTTAAGGACAATGTAGAAGGATAGATAATCCGCTATGTTGTGGTGGGCACCGTATTTGGACTTAAGAGGGCGTCAGACAGTTTATTATGTTCTACCTGTCACATCTATTGACTTGATATTCATATCATGGGGGTTGTT